TGCACTCAAATACAACTGTGTGATTTGGGGGGAAAAATACTTGGAAATTACAGGACAAGTTGAACTACAGCTACAAAGGCAAAGGATGTCTCCTCACATCTATTAAAAGCAACATCTGATCGGCAATCAGTTGATGCACAAAAGAAATTGAAAGACATGTCATGGGGTCAAAGTAGATGCAATCAAGACATACAGATTCCAAGTCACGATTTCCCACCAAGAGCACACGACACTCCTCAAGAGAGCGGAAAAGCTGACCTCAAAACGTATAAGGATTACTATAGCATATAGCATTTCATTTACTTTAACAGTGTTATACATTTATAAATGCACAGGTTAATGCACTCAAAAAATATTTAATCCTATAAATGTATGATTTATATATTTGAAGTGCATATAAAGTATCCATATGTAAGGGGCTTTATGTAAGTATTAATCACATTTGATAGTCAATGTGCGAACAGCTTGTCATGAAACTAAAAAATGAGACCTTACCCGACTCCCTACGCTGTCGGCTGTGTCCGAAATCGCATACTCTCTTGAGTAAATACTTATTTTGAATAAGTCATTATTTCATGACTGCTAAAAAGTATGTTCTATGTAGTATGAATGTAATCTGGACGTGCTACATTCGCCATGTTTGAGCAAATGGGAACAAAAAAATATATTTAGTCTCATTCACCGCAATAGAAGTTTACCCAAATGACGACTTCCGCTTCTGTGAAACCAGGAAATATGAAAAGGGTCCAGTCCATTAACAAATCCTCTCCAATGGCCTCATGGGATAGTGTTCATGAATGCTTCAGAATTTTGCAGGAAGTAGTAGCTAGGTCACCCGGTATTTTCTGACTTCTCTTTGCCAAGGCTACTCTCTCTTTTTGTCTACTCTTAGGCTAGGCTACTGTGAAATTTAATTTGAACATGAATTTGAACTTCTTTTGTGACATACTGTTTTTCACTTACTAGTAGGGAAGTATGCGATTTCGGATGGAGCCTGTAAAGCCGGTAGACTGATTTTTATGTTAAGGATTCGGGACGTTTTTGGAGGGAAAATCAAAAGGATGTGACTAGGCGTGCTCCTGAGACCCTTCCATTGACACATGAAATGGACGCTTAAAAAATATTCAGGATGCTGAAAGCTACTGTAATGTCAATTTGCGTGTAAATAAAGGGATTAATTCAAACTCCCACATATATAATCTATATTTTCAAATATAGCCTAGGCCTATACTTTCTTGTAATCAAACTAACAGTGTAATTGTAATTACCTCATCTGTCGATAGAAGCCGGTGAATTGCAGCAGTGGTGCAAACATATCCAGGTCGCTATCCAGATGCTTTCTTAACTGCTGCTTTTTTGCTGCTGCATTTTTGTTGTGTTTATTTTGTTATTGAGAGGAAAGCCACAGCACTCATCTAAACGTCACTCTCTGCAGCGTCGGCGTCGGGATGTTCGTTAAAAGTATATCACAGCAAACTCAAAGGTAGGCTATTTTCAACTTCTTTTTACTTCTAAACAAAGAACGAAAAAGAACTGTGCCTTGAATAGAATACATCGGGGCGGGGCATTGAAGCACGTTGACGTTCAGTCTCTTGTACTTTACGCGTGCACGAGTGCGAGCAGTTCACTTGTCGGCCACCAGTGTCGCTAATAACAAGGTTTCTAAATTCTACGAAATAACCCATTTAATGTGGTGTAGCCTATATTTGTTAGTCATACTACATAATAATATATAGCCTGGTTAAAACCAGACCATTCTTAGTTGTAACTGAGTATGGTCTGGCAAAGCGTCATAGACAAATCATTTCCAGAGGGGCGTCACCAACGGACGTCGCGGATAGACCTAAACCCAATCAGAGCGATGAAGGAGATGACGTATGCAGAGCGGTGGATGAACATCTCCGAGTGTTGTTCTTTGCTAGGTTTTTAACTAAAAGGAAACGTTCAAATCGCTTAAAACAGACGCATAGCTGATTCGAACGAGTGATGTTCGACCGCGGCATCCATCTTTGTAATGTAGGCTACAAAATCATGTTCAAAATCATGTTCAAAATCCCAGCGCTGTCATCATCGTGTAAAGCCCGCCCCAACGTTTCTGATTGGTGCCGCGATTTCGGCGGATTGGAAATGAGCTTGAATGAGCTCTTTGCCAGACTAACTTTCAGAGCAAATTTGCCGGAAGATGTGTGGGTTTTCCCAGGCTAACATAATAATGAAACCGGTAAGATTTCTGCACTCGAAAATACCATGTCATTCATTCATTCATTCATTCATTCATTCATTCATTCATTCATTCATTCATTCATTCATTCATCCATTTATTTACAAAATGCATTTATTAAAAATTGCTTAGAATCTGCATAAATCTTTGTGAAATCAATTAAAATGATTCAGTTAAAAAGTATGATGAACATGGTTAAAATATGGCTAGCTGTGGAACAAGCAATATGCAATTAGTTAAAATGTATTGATTGAAATCGACTGGATTTACTGATGATAAACATATAAACCTGGTTATTGTATTTAAAACACATTCAGTTTAGGTACTATTACAGAAATCTACCCATTTCATTTAAGTTGATCAACTTACTAAACTAACATTAGTTTATGTTAAAACTTGCAATGGATGGAAGTTTTACTTGCGGTTCAAATCATTAATCTTACATTTAGGCCTAATTGAGTGTGCATGTCGTAATGGTGATCGTTTCGATGGTATATTCCATCCTATAACTCTGCCTGATATGGCAAACAGTTGAGTATAACATGGTAATATGGTGTCAGCATTGTCGGACCCCATTGAATGAAGCAGTTTTCATATGCAAATGAAGAGCCTCTGATTCTTTTTGATTCAGCACTCAATGTTAGACCTCTGTGGGCTTGGAAGCGCATGAGTGGCGTTCAGGTGAAATTATCGAAAATTGGTTTCTTGCTTTGTTAAGCACCTGTGGTGAGATCAAAGAGCACAAATCCGGTGTGTCATCTAGGTTTCAGTGAGAGGTGTTTTTGCGATGCCCGATATGTTAGTCATTTGTAATTTAAAAAACAATTTTCTAATCTAATTGTCCGATGAACACAAACAATGCATCAGTCTTTTGAAGTACTTAATAAGAACATTTAAATTGCTTCAAAGAAACAATTAATGCGTTCTGGAAGGATGCTGCTCAGACATTGACTTAATCAAATCCTCATTTTTAATTTTGATACCATTATTCATTGTAAAGAGACATACGTATGAAGAAAAGGTTGAAGAAATGTATGAAGAAAAGGTCAACCCTCAGCATGAATCCATGATCTTAAAGGGTCTTGTTCTAGTGGTTTGCAATCAAAAAGTGAGTTTCATCACAAGACACTGTCCAGAAGATAGTATTCCACGTGCGCATGAACCTGAATCATTTAAACAAAGCCCAATGATGATGCATAGGACTGACACTTTAAACCATCTGAATCACTTTTTTAGCAGAATACTTAATTTAAATCACTTTTCAACTACTAAGCTCAAACAATTCCTTGAACAATTTGAGTTTACTGATTTTGTAAACCCAGGCTCATTTGAAAGCAATGGGCTTTTGCTTACAGGGATCTTATGTGAAAAGAGCTTACTGAACGATTAAGTACTTAGTGATTTAGTCAACACTACTTGCGCAACAGAAGGGATTGTTTGCCAAGCCCTGTTACAGTATCATAGACATCTTAGTCAATTTGTTTAGCTCAGAAAACAAAATGTCACAAATATAATTATATAAGCTCCTCTTTATGTATGTTGTACAAACAAAGAAAACAGAGGTCAAATAATGACTAATGTCATTTCAAACATATGACCGTACCGATAAATGTAAGTATGCATTACTGTTGTGTATGTTTATCCCACAGTGCACTTATTAATTACGAATCATAAGTTTTGGGGGTAAGTAACGACCAGTAATGTATGTAATCAGATTACTTAGTATTACTTTAAAATTACAACAAAGTATCTGAGTTACTTTTTCAAATAAGTAACCCAAGTTACTTTGTTTTCCCATTTATTGACTGACATTTTGAGAGAAATCGGGACTAAGTGCAGTTGTGTGCGCCGTGTAAACATGACGGTTATTGTAGTTATAGACTAATGTGAGCAGGCATTTACTCATCTCACTTGCACAAAAACAGATTTAGTATTCCTCAAAATGAATAAAAACAATGAAATGCAAAGTCAGAATATTACACAAACCTGCAATAATTAAATGCAAAATAACACAAATATACTTTATGTATTTAGTCTCAGTTTATTAACCAATGTCTTTGCTGCTTGATCTTCGATGATCCGACTCAACCTAAATAAAAATCACTTAGATAAAAATCTGATTTGTGTTTAATGTTTTTGGTTTTTATTGCTTCTCCTGCATTTTATTCTTCTGCGGTCCAGCTGAAATGTTTGTTTGAGCGGCGCCCTCTACTGTACTGGAGTCAATTTGCATTTCCTTCAGCCTGAGGCTTATTCATTTCTGGTGCGAAAGGGCCTTTAAATCTGCCAAAACATTTTTGTTATTAAAACACAAAAACAAGTAAGCCCATCCCAGGTGAGAAAAAGTAATGCAAAAGTAACGCAACTCATTACTTTCCATAAAACTAACTAATGCAATTAGTTTTTTTTTTTAAGGGAGTAATGCAATATTGTACATCTTATATCCATGATTCTATACCTCCATAAAATGACCTTATAATGGATAAAATAACATTAAAAAATCAAACATTGTTTCATTAATTATTTTGCATTTTCATTGACGTGTGATGCGTCGATTAATCCTGGATCAAAAAATGGAGTCACTTATCACTTAAGTCAAGTGGTATTTATTTTTGATATTTTGTTTAAAGTGGTATTGAATTGGTTATGGCAGAGAGATGGTGGTGACGTGATTTGGGAGGGGGTTGGCAGGCGTATGGATATAAATGCAGCCACCACTCACAGATTTCAGCAGACCCTCCTGCCAGCTGGACAGACTATAGCGACGGGGAAAAAATCTATTATTTGAGAAAGTTTTCTTTTGTATTTTTAAGCTCATTGTCAGTGTTGTTTTTTTAAACACATATAATACTTGTAATTCCACATTTCTGGTCCTTATGGAGATTTGTAAACTCTCAGCATTAATGCTCACCATACTTGCTCTTGCCTGCAGTGTTGAAGGATTGTCTTTCACTCTAAACAGAGACCACTGGATTTCAGATAACTGGAAGGTGAGTAATGAACAATCTGCTTTAAATAAATGTATGCAGAAATCATTAAAGTAATCATTACTGTTATGATGAATAAATTAGTCTGTATTCTATCCATTTTTTGGAATTGTTGGTACTAAAAGAATGAAGAATGTTGTATTTTTCATCTAAAACTAAAAGGATATGCAATGTTGCTTTCACATCCACTATCAAAATGGTTTGGTTGTTAACACAGGATGAACCAGTGGAGGAGACACTAGCCAGTCTACTAAAGAGATCCAAATCTCATCCGTTTTATGGGTTAATGGGAAAACGCTCCGGTAAGACTTCAGATTTGCTTTTGTTGGCTCTGGGATGAAATGTTTTACTCAAATTATACTAACAATTTGAAATAAATATTGTATTGTAATTATTACAACAGAATACAGTGGAGTCTAATTTAAAAGGATTTTTTAACAGCTTTAGCATTTTTAAATTAGGTTTTGAGTATTTAACATTCTAATGCAGTATTTTAATCCTTGTCAAAAGTTTTTTTTTTTTTTTTACCAAAGTTATGCTGGCAACAATTTGTAATGAAATAAAAAAAATTAGATTGCATTTTTGACCATTATATATAATCTTATTTCCCTTACTTGTTCTAGTTCTCCAGCCTGTGAAAATGGAACGAAGAAGTGAGTAAACGCACATATCTGAATTAAAAACTGCTAAATAGTATAGCGTATTTACATCTCAACTGATTCATTTTTTGGCCATTGTCTAAACTTGGTTTAAAGAAACATAAATTGTTTCCTCAAAGGGCATAAGGGGGACATGTTTGTGGGACTCATGGGCAAGAGATCTTTAGGAGGTATGGCTTTAAATAGCTCTGCTTACACCAGCAATATAATGTTTAATTTAGTACAGTTTAGTACTATGCTGCATAGGTTTATACCTGGCGTAAAATTGCTTATATTAATCTGTAGGTGCTGTCACAAGAACAATCCCAGAGACCAGTACAGCAATGGACAAATCTGCAGATTTGAACAAACAAAAAGGTACAACACTGTTATCAGAAATGCATTTATGCAAAAATGATAAAATGAACCAGCAGTTTATAAATCTGAAATCATGTTCTTCACACAGCAGATCTTCAAGAGGAATGGGACAGACTGCAGTACTACTAACATTTTCCAACGCTGTATTACAGACTTCACTGGCCTCGGTGTATCGGTATACAATTATTCTTGACTTTTCACTGGAACCAACATTATACTTAATGAGAACATCATCTGTGAGCATTTTTAAGCAAATAAATGTCTTGCTTAAGATATCAAATGTGACATAATAAAAGTATTTATCAAAAATGACAGGTCTTTTTTCCCTGGTTCTGATTTACATGAAAACATTTTCCCAAATAAACCAAGAAACAATGTTTGAAGAAAAATTAAGAATGTGTAATCAATGTAAATCTAAAGTATTTTTTTTTTTTTTGTAAGGCCCCATTTTCTTTTTACATTCTTTTGATGATCAACTGTTTTTTTGCTTTTAAAAACTCAAAATACTTCTAATTTTAAAATATATGTTGGGGCAAAGAAAATACTTTGGCCAGAGACATCAAAAAAATAAATAGCACTGTATAAAACAAAAGTAAGAGATTCCAGAGTTACAAAGAGCACATAAAAAGAGACAAAAATGACAATATGTAACAGCTGAAGCCATTGCAAAAGCCATTACTGATGGAGTCATAAAAATATTTAACGGCAGTTGAGTATGAAATGTAACATGTAAGTCCATTAGGTTCCTTTGGGAGGGGTCCATTTCAGAGAGCTAGGATCAATGGTCTTGTTGTTGTTGCCCCTTTTGGTCTCTTTGGCCTTCCACTCGTCAATCAGGTCCTGTGCCATTCAGAAACAAAACAAAAAAATAATCAGTTTGTCCCAGAAAAAGACAAAATAGCTAACACAAATCCTGTTTAACCCGGAAAAAGGCAGCTGTGGTTACATAATTTACTTATATGGTTATAAGATATGGTTATAAAATGTTAATATACATCTACATTGTACCTTAAAACGTACTGATTTAAACCGAGTAACTTGTGTTGCTAGGTGTTTTGACAGAATGTGCTGTTTTGTGAGCTTGAGGTGTTTTCCCTCAGCACATACAGTATTGTAATGCTCCTGTAAAAGTACCCTTTCAAAATCACTCAAGTATTTCCATTTAGGAAAAAAGCTTGTTCTAAAAGCAAGATAAATGCCATTGAATTCCAATTAGGGATGAATGAGTTAGCGGTTTAATGATAAACCACGATAAAAATTCCAGACGGTTTGTAACACCATTTCATATTATAATTGTCATTAAAACCGTATTTGATTATGGCGATTTGAAAAACTCAGAGTGAATACGGTTCATCATTAAGCAACGTAGAGCAACCGTCTCATGCTGCGTAGGTTTCCTTTTGTGTGAAAACATGACGGAAGGCAGAGCGCGGAGAGAAATTATATGAAAGAACATATAAATGAATGAATGAAGGAACGGGTATAATGTATTATCCTACATTCCTGTGTAATGCCTGATGAAAAAGGCTGAAATGTGAGGTTTATCATTTAAAAAAACAAGAAATTCTTATTTGAACATTTAGTACGTGTTAAATTAGTGGATAACATGTTAAATTGTAATATTAATGTACATTTTTTGGTACATAAAAAATCTGTCCATCGTTCTTAGTTATTAATTTAATGTTAATGCAATAAAAAAGAGCATAGCTAATGTTATTTATTTGTTTGTTTTCGACAACTTTTCCAGCAAATTTGAACAATACTGTGATAATATTGATAACCATGATCCTTTTGATCACTATAATAGTGTTATGAAATTTTTCATTGCGTTCCATCTCTACTTACATGCATAGGAAAAATAATTTAGTCTAAAATATTCTTTTTGATAAATTATTTGTTGAACAAAAAAAAGTAATTGAAATGTATTTTAATGCAATGATATATTCTTCAAAAACAGAAACCATAGTGTAATTGCTATTAAAAAGAAAAATAGAATTTTTATTTTTAATTGAAAATATATATATTTTATATATAAAATTGCTTAATTTTTAAATTGAATAGAAATAATTGAAAGAATCATCATCAACCTTCTATGAAATAGCAGCCCTATCATAAACAAACTTATAAAAGCATGTAGGCAGTAAATGAAAAAAAAAAAAAATGGAAAAAGAAAAAAATAATTTCCTGATACCTGTCGCTTCAAGACCAGATGCTTCCCCTTCCAGTACTTGAGCATCTGAAGTGACTGCAGCGTACTGACAATGTCCACAGGGTTCACTGCGGTCTCTTGACTGATCTCTGAACAGGAGAAAAAAAGAAACAATGCTAAACCTGTAAAGGATTTTACAGGGATGTCATAGTGAACATGCCTACAAACTTTTCTTACCCTTAATGGAGATCTCTTTGCCCTTGAAGTTGCACATGTACCGCAGCAGAACTTCCTTCCAATAGCTGCGATAACTGATGAGGCCCAAATCCGAGAGAGGGCGCTCAGGAGAACCAACCTTCTCTTCAACCTTCGACAGCAGGTAACCTAGAACCACGACAAACAAACAATGTGATGCACGTGTTGAGGAATAACAGCATCCAGAGGTAATGGCATTACAACTCTGTATGACAATCTGATGATGATAAAAGTCTACAAATGTAAATAGTTTTTATGTCCAGCACTCAATCCATAAAGGTCTTCGTCACACTTAATCGCAAACTGGTACAAATATAACAGATAGGGCTGGGGCGGTATATCGAGTTTGTACGATATAAATATATATCTTAAAAACGATACAGGATGAGGCAATACCATATTACAAGCGCATCTGAAAAATAGTGGAGGACATAGAGTGAGCTGCTGTGTGGAAAGACATGAGATATGCTTTATATTAAGGGCTTTAAAATAACTCCGATGTAGTTAACGCGCATAGTTTAAAGCAGGCTTGCCCTACAAAGTAACATAATGAGGGTCCCTACATGCAAAACGAAGCATTGAGAACTTTGTAAGTGTACAGACCGTTTAATAAGAAGATAAAGATGAAGACAGTCCACTTCGTGTATACAGACAGGAGCCATCTTTGGAAAACATACTCGACTAATCAAACCACGAACGACGTGCTAAGTGAGCTGAACTGTATGAAGTTCAGTGAACTTCTGAACTGTGTGAATGGCGTTCGTGGTTTGATTAGTCGAGTCTGTTTTCCAAAGATGGCTCCTGTCTGTATACACGAAGTGGACTGTCTTCATCTTTATCTTCTTATTAAACGGTCTGTACACTTACAAAGTTCTCAATGCTTCGTTTTGCATGTAGAGACTCTCATTATGTTACTGTGTTCGTGTGGGGCTATTTTGAGCTTTGTTAGTGGTATAAACTAGCGATTTCTTTTTACTTATTAAATGCCCCCATTACTAGCGTTATACGCTAAACAGTTTTTAGAGATAAAACTCTTTACATTCAATTATCATGAAAACAAATCTCAGAGAACGGTTGACTAGGTACCAATGTTTTATTAGACCAAAGGTTCATTTTGCGCCGGAGTTCTCCTTTAAGTTGTGTAATAAGATGCGTTTTCCTCAGTGCATAACTTACATTTCACAGGAGGTATATTCTCCATCTGTAAATGTTAGAAAGTCTTGCAAATATTTAAATTTTGCTGTCAGCAGTGGGCGAGCCTTATGCAAGCAAGTCTCTGCTAAACTTCAAACTTCATGAGCTTGTTTATAATTTGAACGTGTTTTGTCTTGCCAATTTACACATTCAAAGAATTTTGAGAGAGAGAGAGAGAGAGAGAGAGAGAGAGAGAGAGAGAGAGAGAGAGAGAGAGAGAGAGAGAGAGAGAGAGAGAGAGAGAGAGAGAGAGAGAGAGAGAGAGAGAGAGAGAGAGAGAGAGAGAGAGAGAGAGAGAGAGAGAGAGAGAGAGAGAGAGAGAGAGAGAGAGAGAGAGAGAGAGAGAGAGAGAGAGAATACTGCCCGTCCCGGTAGTATTTTCTCGTTTCTCTCATAAGTGATCAGTTGAGAAAGAAATCGGATGTTTGTCAGTTTATTCTGCGGTCTTAAATGACAGCACACAGCTAATATTCCTACTTTTGTCTGAGTCATTAATACTAATAAAACCACAACATACAGCTTTAACAAAGATTAAACTATAACAAAGTGTTATTTTACATTTAGGCTAAATTATTAATTTCTGTACCTGAATACTACTGTTAGACTTTGTAACTTTGTTATTTAGTATTCATCTCTGCTTGTATTTTGTGCATTTGTTCTTATTTTATTGCTGACTGTTCACTTGTTTTAAATTAATAAATGAAAAGCCAAGTGTTCTTTGGCCATTTCGCCCAGCCCTAAAAACAGACAGGGATGTATCACAGGTACTCACTAAAATCAATCAGCATCTTGCCATAGCCCTGTCTCATGTACTGTGGCATAGTCAGGATACAAGACACATTGTAATTCAGGAACGAGTTCTTCTCCTATGGAAATAAAAAGCAGCAATTATAAAAACTCTCCTGACAATGTTATGATCTAGGAAAAGGCTTCAAAGACACTACAGGCTAACATTTTTCAAAATGAACATGCATATAAACGTGGCATTATATTAGCATGTTCTGCTGATTTATGAGACTTTCAGCACACAATTAGGGTGAAGTGCTCTTCAGGTTAGTACCCCCACAAAACACTTTAGCCTGGTTCAGATTTTTCTTTCTTTAAAAATAAAACTTCAAATAATTAACCCCCGTAGATTGGCACTCTAAACCTGTTGATCCTTACTCGCATTAGGGATGGGACGAAATATCGTTTGACGAAATATCGCGATACAAAACGTGACGAAACGCATCGAGGTGGAAAAAAATGGATCGCGAAATAAAGATAGATGGCACTGCTGCATGATTTGCGTAGTATATAAATAATTTAGTGTATTATATGTGTGTGTGTATGTATATGGGGCAGACATACAGTCTATGGTGGCAGGCTGGCAGCACCATCTGCTGATCAAGCAGGTTAAAACTAAATGAAAAAAAAAAATTATATCCGGGGAACGGTGCGGTACGTCATCACGTCAAGACAGCGCATGTTGCAACAACAACACTGCAGTCTACAGCGAGCTAACAAATATTAGCATCAGTACCAACTGCCTTGCCCCCAAACAGCCGACCATGGAGTCAAATGTATATATATACCGTAAAACTTCAAATAATAGCCCGGGCTTTTATTTTCCCAAATCGTCGAACTGCACCGGCTTGTATTTGAGACAGGCGTCTATATGAGACCGGCCTTTATAATTAAGTGTTGAGATGTTGTTCATT